CCCATGGGTGGTGCCCCCCGGGAGCCCGGTCCGGGGGATGCTCCTGCAGTGAGGGGCGGCTGGCACCCATGGGTGGTGCCCCCCGGGAGCCCGGTCCGGGGGATGCTCCTGCAGTGAGGGGCGGCTGGCACCCATGGGTGGTGCCCCCCGGGAGCCTGGTCTGGGGATGCTCCCGCAGCGAGGGGCGGCTGGCACCTATGGGTGGTGCCCCGGGAGCCTGGTCCGGGGGATGCTCCCGCAGCGAGGGGGTGTCTGGCACCCATGGGTGGTGCCCCCGGGAGCCTGGTCCGGGGGATGCTCCTGCAGCGAGGGGGCGGCTGGCACCCATGGGTGGTGCCCTCAGGGAGCCTGGTCCGGGGGATGCTCCTGCAGTGAGGGGGCGGCTGGCACCCATGGGTGGTGCCCCCCGGGAGCCAGAAGCCTTTGACCAAGACTTGATTTTCGCTTCTAGGGGGTGCCGGCTCTTTGGAGGACCGTGAGAGCTGTGGAGGCGTCATAGACGTGACCAGAGCAGCTAATGGGACCATCCACTTACCAGCAGCCAAGGGCCCTCCGGCACCCACCAGAACCTGCACCTGGGTGATAGCAGCGCTGCCCTCCGAGGAAGTACGCCTGGAAATCAAAGCCCCGGAGGCGGCTGCTCATCCCAACCTCAGTGTGCGCTTTGAAGGTAGCCCAGGGGAAGGGGCCGGCAGGGAGGGGCCTGTGGACATTGCCCACAGCTTTCTTCTGAAGGGACAGGGCAGAACCGTGATCAGAGGGAGCCTGGATTCCAGTCTCACTTTCACTTACTGGGGTAAGAACCATTCAGAGACTCTGGAGCCGTTTCCACTTGGCCCGACCTTTCTACTGCACCCAGGCCGAGCATGTGCAAGGCACCGCAATGCCAGTCCCTGCCCTGAGGAGCAAACCGGCTACAGCAAGGGTGTAAGACGGGGTTAGTGGCAAGAGTGAATGTCACTGTGGGGGTGTGGTGCTAGTGGGGAGGCAGGTGCTTTGTGATTGTGGACAAGAGGGAGGTGAATGCAGAACGCTGCACTGGTTTAGCTGGGTGTGATTTTAAAGCTGACTTAGGTAAACCAGTGCCAAAGGCCATGTGGACACTTATTCCGGTTTAAATCAGGTTTCTCTCTGTTTAGGCTTCGGTTTAAACTAACCAGCACAAGTCACCCTTAAACAGCAATAAGGGAACGCCCAGAGGGATATGGACTGGTTTAACTAAAGCCATTTACAAACCAGTGTGACTTAAACTGGTGCAACTTTCTTGTGTAGACAAAGCCTGACCTATAGTGAAGCCTGTGCTGCATGCAGTCTGCTAGACTGTGTGCATGGGGAGAAGGAATTGACTTAAAAAGAACATTCTCTGCTGGTTTTAAATTGTAGCCTGGGGGTTTCATGTTAGATTTCAGCTCTGTCCTTTCACAGGCTAAATAATAATAGCATAGACCTGCACTCCACCTATCCTGGTATCTTGCTTCTGGCAGTGGCCAGTACCACATGCTTCAGAGGAAATGGCAAGAAATGCTGCAAAAGGCACTTATATGCCCAGGGAGAGATTATTTGCCCTGAGAGAAAATTTCCTGTAATCTGTCCCCAGGGAGAGTGTCTGATTCCTGTTGTTTCTGAGAAAAATTGTTGCAGACTCATGCCGAAAGTCCCTGCTTTTATTTGGTGTGTTTGGGAAATACGGACGCTGACTTTCATTGCGGTAAATGTCAATCAGTGTGTCTGCTTTGGCTTGAGCTATGCACATGGGCTGTGCAAAATGCCGTCACAGACATGCTTCCCGTGATGCCCTGTGAGCGAATAGGCGTATAGCCTGCACTCATCAGGTGATCTAGGCCCCATCCTTTGTATGGTGCAATTGTATCATTTGTGTGTGTGTTACATGGGCGCGTTAGCTCGTTATCTGAATGAAATGGGGGACATGGAGTTTATTTGGATAAATGGGAGTGTTCCGTGTCAGTGAGGCTATCCCCACCAGGTGACCTACATTCAGGTAACACAGGAGTTTGGGTTCAGAGGTTTCTGTTATTTATTCATGGTAGTTTTGGTGAGTTCCAGCTGGATTTTGAACCAAGCCTCAGGTTTTCCTTTCACAGGAAATGGCTTTCTATGAAACCAGATGCTGCAAAGAGTTAAATTCCCAAGTGACTGGTTGCATAAAGCAAAGGAGCGACAGAAAAAGGACTTTTTGCACATTGAAAAAGGGCTCGATTGGTTTTTGGGCAAAGAAACGCCCTGAGCTGCTGGGGTGGTGAGAGCCGGGGGAGGGGTCTTGGGTTTGCAGAAATTAAGTAGTTAGGAAAACAGAGAGAGACCAGGGGGCTATTCTGGCCACTGTACAACAATATTCTTCTGTATTTATCTAATGCTGATAGTGTGCTCACTGCCAATGCTTGGCTCAGACTGCACAATCGTCACCTCCTTTGAGCTGGAATCTGTCACAGCCCTGGGCAGAACTTGAATTAGGAAAGCCTTGCAGGTAGAACAAACCAGCGCCCCAGTCCTACCAGCACCAGTGCCGGTGTCTGGTTTTACCCCCGTGGGGTGACGGGAGTGCGCCAGTGAAGCCAGACCAACACTCGTGTTGCTTGTGCCCAACAGAAGACAGGTGACCCAAGTTACTGGCAAAGGCTAATGAGCTGGCGCTGGGGCGGTGCGAATTCGGGAATTGCTTCCCATTGGCCAGGATGAGGGGGCGGCACTTGAAAGCGCTTGGATTGCTTGAGAGGAAAATGGAAAGATTTGAATGGCCCAGCAGCCTCGTCTTGGGGTGCGACCCCCAGCTTGGGAACGGCTGCACTGAGCATTATTGTATCCAGAGCATGTTGCCACCCAGGTCTCTCCTGCTGCAGCATGATTTCAGTGTGGGGAGCTGCATCGCCCTCCCCACTAGCACTGCCTGGCTCTGGATTCCTGTTGCAGTCCCTAGTCAAAGCTGCCCCCCCGCCCCCCCAGCTGGGTCACGAGGCAGGGTGCACTCGGGCCTTTCCTCGGTCATGCCCCTTGTTCCTTCCGGTGCTGAGAGGCGCTTGGCCAGAGTCTGCGCCCGGCCACAGCGAACGTGTCTCCTTGCCAGGACCACTAGTGCTTATATCATCCTCCAGACCGCACCCCAGACCCATCGCCATAGCAATGCGGCTGCTCTGGGCTGGGGGTAGGTGGGGACACCCAGCTTGGCTTGGCTTTGTTCTCTTGGAGATTTGGGCTTTGGCAGGGGAGGGCTTGTTAATAATTGGCCAATGCGAGTACTTTTTGAGGCTTGGGAGACGAGGCCTTTATGCAGCGCTCTCCATGTGGCAAATA